TTCAGCTGCTCAGACGTGCTGCGTGTGCTGCTCAAAACGCGCCGCGGGACATTTTGCTGCGCATTGACGCGCGTCAACCATTGACTTTGCATGTAAACTCGCTGCTTCTGTCGCGCCAGCTACGTCCAGTGTGAACGCAGCATTAGTCATTCGCTGCTAAGCTCAAAACAACCGCGCCTGGCTTGACGGAGAAACCAGGAGAGCAGCTGAGCATATTTACGACAGTGCACTTTTACTTTCGCCCTCTGGGGGGAGCCTCGCAGGAAAATCAACACCGGTTGCATAGTGTACCTTTAAGCCTTATCATAAACTGTTGAGATAATTAGATTTAATTAAAGTTCTTACTCAAATGGAGCAAAGAAAAAAAAAAAAACTCTTATAACTATTTTAGCATAAAAATGGCAACCTCTTGAAGCTAAATAGGGGCCATAAAGTTTTTTTTTTTAATAAATAAAGATTACAAATAGAGTTCGTTAAAAAAAAACAAAAAAAAAAACAGGCGTACATTAAAAGTGTTAAAATAAAAAACAATGTGATTGGTTTTGAAAAATCCAATCTCTTGCTTTTAGCTCCATAGAGGAGAGGTCAACTTCAGAAGCTGCATGAGGAGGAAGAAGGATGAATGATGCAACATACTGATGATGTTTCAAAGACATTTCCAGTTCCTGCAGTCCATAAATGTGACAGCCGAGAACAGGTTGATCAGCTGCTGTGTTGAGCTGTAGATCATGATTCCACACCCATTTTTGTTTAACAAACTTCAGGCCTCAACTTATTTGCATACACCTTTTCTAGTGAGTAGACATCTTATATGGTAGAACTGTCAGTAAAAACCTTTCCCAGCTTGCTGAGTGGTAGCTATGCCATATTACTAATAAACAGTTTTTTATCCTTAATCTAAAAATATTAAAAAGAATTAGAAAGCTGTGGTATCCTGACATTAAACCTTGTTAAGGCATTGGTTGTTTTGGTCCCACTAGGGCGCCATAATCCTCCTACTGCAGCCAAGTTTCTGTAAGGCAACATAAATCAATTTTTTTTTCCACCAATAAAGTTATTTTAATAATAATTACATGATCATGATTTAGTCCTTTGGGAATTTTTTCTGATGTATAGGATTTTGGTTGTAGATAAGACACTGTCTGGATGGAGTAATGAGTGGTAGAGAAGCTGCAGAGAGGTATTAGGGCTTACTCTACAACATTCATACTGGAAAATTTACCAAAAATTGAACCCACCAGCGAGCTCCATATGCTTATAGCTGTGACAAAAACGAGCTCTGGAGCCCATAACCTATGCAACATCAACACACATGTAGTAGCTGCTACCTCTTTTCTTTATTTTGAAGGAAGTGGGCCTTTATTTATAGACTGAGTACAGCATGGTTAGGGTGGTTGCAATTGCTTTTAGAGGTCATGTTTGGGCTTGTGCTCAGACATCTAAACCAAACTTATGGGACTTAAGAATCAAGTGGAATAGCACTTTGCACAGAATTTTGATAAAGGAAGAGCACAATAGCGTAGCCTGGAAAAGTTTACTTTACTATGAAATCCTTTAATTGGTAAAAAGCATAACAATCAGTCATACAAAAAGTGGGCATGCACTATATGTGCCGCACTAGAGGTAGCGCCAAAGTTATGGTTAGACAATCATTTCCAGTTGGCCGTTATTGCATCTAATAGTTATTTAGGCTTGTCACTCCAAGTCTTATCTCTCCAAACGAAGCACAATTTTTACTAACAGCTCATATATGCATGCACAACCAGACACATGTAACATTCAGTATCTGGAGGAGGTCATTTTTGAGAATATATGCCATTAAATTAAACCACACAAATACAAACCTTACTGCCTTTATTTTGTGTTGAAAGTGTATGTTTGTCGTTTATTCATTTGCGATTTGTTAAAGGTTTTTATATAAATTCTGTTCATTTGTAGGTACAAATGTAGCACAGCTTCCAGTCTACTGGGAAATAGCACACATTGTTTGCGGTAATTAACCACAGCTGACCCACAAAGGTATAACAGGCTAAAACATTAAAACAAAGGACATGTTTTCATATAAGATATATTTTCATGTGAAAAACAATATTAATATAAACAGAAATAAAGTAAATAGAAACTGGCAATGCGATTTGATTATTGGAGCAGAGAACATGGGACATGAAAAAACAAAAAAACAAGAACGTCTTAAAAACAGCTGACCTTTGTAACATGGTAGGCTGTTCACTTCCTCTTCACAGTTGATAAAACAGTTATGTATCTAAAATATGCATTACTCTAAAATTTACATTTATATGAAAACAATGCAGTTGAAATAGTTTATGATAACTAAATACCCCATCATGAGAAATAAAGATTTTCTTTTGACTCTGGAATCATTTTCAGTTGAAACGACCTCCTTTTGGGTGATTGCATGCTGCAAATGACTCACACCACTCTTTCATCACATCAAGATTTCCTCTCTGCAACTATCCGCGCAGCTGTAAAGAAAAAAAGGAAATGGGTGACTTTCTACACAGTTACCTAAAAAAAAATAACAGTACTTTGCATGAAAAACATGATTGTTTTTTTCTTCCAAAGATGGTATTCACATCATGTTAAAGATTTGATGCCATTTAGCAAAAATAAAACTTAAGAAATGCTCAATGTATAAAATAGCTTTTGTTCTTGTTTATTCTTAGTCCATAATCCTAGCAGACCATAAGATATTTTTCACAAAATTTGGGAAGTTCATGAAAAAATCCTTTTAGAAAAAAATCTGAAAGTCTTACATAAAGGGTCAGTGATGCAACCTTGAATATATCCTTGATATTTTTTTTTTATAAATCAACCACTTGTGCTTTGGCCACATCCGCTGCTGTAGGCTTATAGAAAGGCCTCCCTACTGCAAAGCCAGCCGGTTATAATGGAGCACTGTAAGCCAACTTTGTATTTGTATTTGTAAAAAATACCATAAGTTCAAGGCATGGTTAAAAAGAATAAATGAATAAATAAAAATACTTTACGGTAAAGTGTTTTTACAAATATAAATACTATGCTTTCATCTGAAGAATAGACAATCATTATACAGCTGTGGAAATTTTTACATTAATGGATATGTGAAAAAAGCAGCAACATCAGATGTGCAAAATGACAGCAGTATGTTATTTAAATGACTTAGACAGAATCTGAGCTGGTTTAATTAATGAAAACACTGTATGTAAGGGTACGGTACAACTTTTCTATCTACAGATGACACCAGATTTTTCTTTAATCTGATGTTTTGATTTTACGACATTTCTCACTCAAAACAGTAAAAATTATCAAATAAGATGTCCAGTAAAGACAGGACAGGGTTATTTTATATTAGTTACACTAGAACAGAGTCCAGCACAGGCCTTCAGAACGTCACCTTTACCTGTCTTTCTGTCCCTGTATATGAGTCCAAGTACGAAGGTGGACAACAGGTAAGGTATCCCCACAATGAGATGACACAAAACTCTGGATACGGGGAATGAAGACAGAGGGGATACAGGTGCTGTAGATAGAAAAAGAAAACTCAGAAAAATTACAATTTAAAATGAAGGTGTTCCCAAAAAATCTCTTGATTTGACTCCAAACTGTATGTAAACATTTCATATATAACCCATGATATGTGGAAGTCTCTTCCTTGACGATTCGATGCAATCAACTGGTTTTCCTTAGATAGAAAACTTTGAATCAATCTGACTGTAGGGTCTGGTAAACTGTAAAGAGCCTTGAGATGACATGTGTTGGGAATTGGTGCTATATAAATAAACTGAATTGAATTGAATAAAAATGGATAAAATCAATCGCAGAGGCATGGCACACAGACTGTTTCTAGTGATGTGTCAGAGAATAGGTCTCCCCTAGTGCAGAGTAGTACAGAGGTCACCATCTCTTTTCAGTCAATCATTACACACCTCCAACCTCTTTGTGTAGAGTGCTTTGTTGAATGGGTTTTCATAACCCAATAACATTTCTTCATCTGACAACCAGAAGAAGGAGTCTGGTTCTGGGGAATGCAAGGAGAATGGGGGTTGTCTGGCTGTGCCACGTGTAAAGTTTGGTCGTAGGCATGTTGTTGTTTTTTAGAAGTTAGACTTGGCCACTTAATTCCAGCAAGAGGAATTCTGCATGTTTCACAACATCAAAACACTTTTAAATACTACACTCTCCCTATTTATTGGGAACAGCTTGGAGATGGCCTCTTCCACTTCCATCATCAACTGTAAACCATACCACAAAGGAAGGTCAATCAACTTATGGATAAAAGAGTTTGGTGAGTATGACTGACCTGCACAGAGCCCTGATCTCGACCCTTTAGAATACATTTGGGATGAATTAGAGCAGAGAGTTAAAGCCAGGACTTGTGATCCAACCTCATCTAATACCTCATGAATGTGCCTATAAGAGAATGGCCAGAAAATGCCATAAACCTGATCTTTGACTTTGTGGAGAGCCAGGAGAGTTGAAGCTGTTATACCCACAAAAAGAGGCATCTAATTGAAGACAATGGATTAAGAAGGGGAAGTTCATTTAAAGAGAGGTGAATGAAAATGCAGAAACCAACTCTGTAACAGTCAATAAATAAAATGAATCTACTTCCATCTATCAAATGTAACATAAATGATTTTCCATACTTCGCTAAAACCTTTAATTGCTTTTGTTACCTAAAACTGTCAGCCAGCTGCCTTCTGATTCTCCAAGCCCAGAGGCACCGCAGGTATAGAGTCCCTCATCGGATCTGGAAGCACTGAAAATAGAAATTTCGCCCGAGGTGTTACTCATGATGATGCGGCCATCTTTATAGAAGTTGTATCTGTGTTTGGAACTGTCAGTCTTAGCTTTACAGCGAAGAACCACAACAGTTCCCTCTGGCACGGGCATTGTGGGACTCTCCAGAATTACTCTGCGATCTTTGGAAAAAAAAAAAAAACTGCTTTAGTATTTTAAACCTTTTGTTTTAGGTTTTACTGCTCAACATTGACAATGGACTGAGCTGTTTTTCAGTTTATAGGTACTGCGTGTTAGTGTTTTCACATGTGGTTAAACTTCACATCACACTGTGGCTACATTTTGGCTATTTTGTGATATTGCTTAAAATATTTTTCCACTTCTGTTCAATATTCGTTTCAGCTATTGTTAACCTTCAAAAGCAAGCAAAAATGACAGTTATTTACAGTTAATTTGAAAAGAAAAAGAACAAGTCTGGTTTTGTTTTCTCCTGCTCTTTAAATTATTAATTTAAAATCGTCGTTATGCTGCTCATATGTATTTATATTCCATCAAGAACCATCAGGTCCAGCTCAGAACTTATGTTATCCACTGCAATGTCCAAACTAAAATCTCGAGAAGTTTACTTGCATAATTTTCACAGTGCCTCTCCTTGGGCTGCCACCTTATCGTTGTGGAGAGGTTTGAGTGTCCCAATGATCCTGGGAGCTATGCTGTATGGGGCTTTATGCCCCTGGTAGGGCCACCCACGGCAGACAGGTCCTAGGTGAGGAACCAGACAAAGCGCAGCCCAAAGACCCTTATGATGATTACAACCTTTGGACTCGGCGTTCCCTCGCCCGGACGCGGGTCACCGGGGCCCCACTCTGGAGCCAGGCCTGGAGGGGGGGGCACGATGGCGAGCGCCTGGTGGCCGGGCTTTTACCCATGGGGCCCGGCCGGGCTCAGCCCGAAGAGGAAACATGGGTCCCCCCTTACATGGGCCCACCACCCGTGAGAGGGGCCATAGGGGTCGGGTGCAATGTGTGTTGGGTGGCGGCCAGGGGAGGGGACCCTGGTCCGATCCTCGGCTGCAGAAGCTGGCTCTTGGGACGTGGAATGTCACCTCGCTGGTGGGGAAAGAGCCGCAGCTAGTGTGTGA